ATTTGGCAATTTTATTATTAATGATGTTAGATTGCCATTAATACCGATAGTATTTTAACGATTTTATTACCGATTATTTAAAAAGAAAAGTCATCGACTTTAGCTATTATAGGTGATAGATGCCAGAGCTACTATGAAAAGGCATTAAATGGCAATTTTATGCACTAAGTGATATTTTATCTTTAAAAATGCAAATCTTAAAACAAAAAGAATGAGCATAGTTTTATAGTGGTTTTCATTAAGTAATAATAATCTCATAGAGGAAAGCTAAATACTAGTTTCCTTGATTTCTTCTTCCATCACATAATGCAAGTTTGCAATTATCTTATGTACAGATATAATTGCATTTTATTATCGCATCGTACGATATGGTAGAATCTCATATAATAATATATAATCGCTCACCTCCCCCTTGAAAAATTTAAAGTATACAACTCAAAGTAAGTTTAGAGATATTGATCACTAGGTTTAGTCAATTTTACTTCGATTACAATCTTAAACTCGTTATACGCTCAAGTACGTACTATGCTCCTGAGCATAAATCAAGTATTAACTGTCGAGTGTAATATGAATTTGTAGTCGGCTAGATTTTAAGCTTGACTAGTGCCTCTAGATATAAGTAATCTAGAAACTAAAATAATCTAGTTGAACTTGCAAAATAAACCTTTATTTACCAAATTTGTAGCGTTTTCTTCACATCTTCCACTCAATGGACAGATGGCTAATCCTTAATCTCTTCATTAATTGGTTCTTCTAGCATTTACGAATACATTTCCACGTGTGCGATTATCAACAGGAATAAGAGATGACTAGCGTAAAAAATGCAATGTGACCGCCTTTAAATTCATGATTGTAGCTGACTTCTTTATGCGTATGTGATATATTTTATTCTTCATATTGTTCTCTAATAAAATCACTACCGAAATATATTTCATAATATTGTTAGAACTTAAAAAAAAATGGAAAAATGTTAATTTTCAAATATTCAAAATTATTCTTCTTGTAAAGTAGTCTTTGAAGAACTGAAGAAGATACCTCGACGACCCAGAAACCTGAGAAATTCTGGACAGAATGGAATCCTGTCTTTATAAACAATCAAAGAAAATTGCAAAGTTCTTTAAGAGAAAGTAAGATGTAAAAAGATTCCAACAAAACACACTCCATAGATTAGCATCGCTTACGTAGACGATAGAATATAATACAGATTTATTCATCGATATATTATTTTTGTATTCTTATGTTACAAATCCCGAATACATGAAACATTAAATCTAAGAAGAATAGACGAAGTAATATTTACATATTGTGTGTATACATTACCGAACTATATAACGACAACAAATAAAAAAATCTTGTCCGCTATAAACTTAGGTTAAAATAACAATAAATGGAATACTGCTAACATTTGCACCAGTGTATAATATATAATACTTATGTGTATATATATATGTACTTACATATATAACAACTAATCACTAGTTTTCAATTTGTTTTGCTGATGTTGCATTGTTAATTTTGCTATTTCATTACCTAATGTATCGATATTGTCCTGTAAAAATCATATAAAATGAAAAACATAAATAAATTATACAATACATGTGTTACATGTAACAAAGTGATAATTTTTACGACATGCTTTTTACTTGATATTATATTTTTTAATTATTTTTGATTTTTATTTAAATACTTGCCTTTAGAGTGATGTTTTTCAATAACGCGTCTTCAAGAACCGCTTGTAACTTTTGGTTTATTTCTAAAGAAAGTTCTAGAGTCATATTCTCATCCGAAACCCGATGATTATAAACAGATGCCATTATGCCTCCGTGCCGTGCCAATTCCGCCTGTAGAGTTAAACAAAAAGATAAATTAGAGCAAATAAAATTTATTTAATGATTCCGATCAAATATCTATCTTTTTTCGGTTTAAGAAATTAAAAAAAAAAAATTGTTTATGCTGAGACATTGGGTAAATTAATGAATTATCGCTCAACAATATTTTTTAACATATTCGAATACATAGAGAATCCATTTTCTCACACTTACTGTATCCCTTCTGCTTTTGATATGCTTGAATTGAAAAAAATGAATGTCTATTATTATTAATAAAATTTGACGGGCTTATTTTTTGAATTTATCATTTATTGAAAAATGCGAATATGATTCTTTGAATTATTTGATTACTTTCATCATTAAAAGGATTATTACACGTGGAATATTGTTTCGAATAAAATTTACATCGATTCAAAAAGATTGTAAAATTAAATTACAAAATTATACTCTTAGTAATATAATTTTTATATATTGCGAGGTAAAATTAATAACAAAAAAATTTCTTACCTTATGTCTATCTCGCTCGTTACACGTTAGGGCCCCAAAGTTTTGATTTAGAATATAGTTTTGTATTATTTTTGTTTTCTTCTGTAGCTCTTCAACCAATGTTTGTGTATGTTCGTCTAAAAAATCTAATTTTTCAGCCCTTTTTACATTTATCTTTTGCAATTTTATAATGCGATCCATTAGCACTTGTTTACTAGGTTCTAAAGAGTGAATATGATCGTCGTTAGCGTTGTTATCCGATAAGGCACCATTCAGCGTATCGCCTAAGAAAAAAAAAAGTTAATTTAATTTTAAAACATATTATTACATATATATACAAACTGTTTCGTGACGTAAAAAATTTTTAGATTTATTCGAATCTATTTTAATACCAAACCTGCATTTAAAGAAGTATTAGATCCAGTTCTGGACGTAATATCCAGTGAATTACTAGGAGATGCCGCTTCGTACATTTCTAATTTTCTACGACACTGTTGCAACTCTCGTGTCATTTCCTTTATAGAAATTTGGTGCTTTCTCTTTAGTACTGCATTTTCACCCTGACTATCCTCTAATTTTTGAGACAAATTCTGCGCAAGTTGAGTTTGTTCAGCGACATGTTTAGCTAAAATCTCACACTCCTCTCTTCTCTTCTTTCGTTCTTGCGTCAAGTTCTCTTCCAAGCTTTTCACTTTACTAGTTAATTCATTAATACATTCACGTAGCGGGCCGTATTGAGATTCAAGATGATTCGCTTTCGTTTGAATTGCAGTAAATTCGGATTGAAGACGTACGTTTTTATCCGTTAGCTTTTGCGTAAAATCCAACATATCCGCTTCCTTCTGACGACATGCTTGCATGTCGGATCGTAATTCTTCGTTAGCCGATCGTAATTGCAATATTTGAGCTTCGACCGATGTTATGTGCTCCTCTTTGCTATAAAAATAAAATATTTTACAATTAAAACTTTATATCATATCTTTTTTAACTTTGTGAGAAATACATTATCATTGTAATATACTTACTGTTGCAATTGGAGTTGTAATGTTTCTAACTGCGAAACCTTGTTTAATAATTCAGTGATTTGTTCCTGACGCTGATTCGCAATAGTTTGTAAATTACTTAAATTACTTTCATTGTTCAATCGAGCTTTCTCAAACTCTTGAACCATCAGATTAAGTTTCTTGTTTTCTTCGGTTAAGTTTTGTTGTTTAGATTTCAGCGTTTCTAATTCTTTTTGCAACTGAAGCCTTAATGTTTCTTTATCTTTTGTAACATGTCTTTCTAAGATCAAACGTGCCTGATGCTCTTTTAGCTGTTGATCTAATGTTACAGCTCTGTTCTCTTCGGATTGCTGAAATTTGCGAATTGATTCTTGCGTTTCACGGCGTATATGTTCGCATTCTTCTTTCATATTATTTTTTTCCATCTGTAACATATATCTAAATAATATTGATATTCCATTAGAATTTCTTTAAGGATGACTAGCAATTAAATGTTGAAGCAATGGCTATATATATATATATATATATA